AAGTAGACTCATTTCTTAGGTCATAGAGTGCACCAGCTATGGTTTAGATGAATGCCCTTCGGTGTTCTACCAAAACTCCCTGGTTTCCAACGTTTAGAAACGTCCTAAGACTCAACCGGGCGAAAGCCGGCCGCTTTTCATGAAAGCCGGTCGGTTTTGCTCTGCTCAACTTTCGCCGTTACGTAAGCCGGCCGGGCTTTGCGAAAGCCGGCCGGTTTTTACTGCCGTAGTTTAATTCTTAAAACAAATCATGAAAGCCGGCCGGGCTTTGCAAAAGCCGGCCGGTTTACGGCTGCGTAGGATTTTTCCCAAAACCATGAACGTCGGCCGGGTTTCACAAACGCCGGCCGCGTTTCGTCGCCGTACTATTATTCCAAAAATCATTTCGAAAAGCCGGCCGATTCCTACGAATGCCGGTCGGTCTTCAACAGCGAGAAATTTTCGCATTTAATTATCCCGGAAGCCGGGCGGTTTTGGCCAACGTCGGGCGGCTTTCAGCCTTGGGCAGGCCGGGTTTCCCAAACGTCGGCCGACGCTCGACGCCGTAGTATTTTTTCAAATTAATTCGGACGAAAGCCGGGCGGCTTTTGTCGAAGCCGGGCGGCATTCGCCCCAAGGCGAGGATCTCTTCCTCTCTTTGCCTTCCAAACCCGGCTTAAATCGCCGGGGTCATCAATTTACAAGTTTACAACGCTCCCATTACTTATAATAGAGTTAACAACATGAGTTTAAGGATTTACCCGCAACGGAGTCCGGGTTAGCACGTGTGTCCGCCTCCGTCATTGCATAGATCCTAGCTTGGATCTTACCTTGATTCACGGATGGTGCGTTGCTTGTACTTGGCCCGCCGTGCCCCGTGTTCGCATGAGGTGCTCCCATCTGGTTTCTACTTGCTGTGGCAGCACTACTCGGCCCCGATACCCGATCTCCACCAAGTTGAGGGCAATCCATCCTCATATGTCCCGCCTCCCTGCATTGGTAGCACCTAGGGGGATCACGACATGTGCCCGTATGGTTTTTCTTGCAATTTCGGCACCTTGGTGTCGTCGAGGCATGTGATCCCGAGTGTTGTCCTCCCATGCTCGAATTTCTCCTAGATGGTGGTGCGGGTGTTTTGAAAAATCCTCCTCCCCCGTGGTTCCCCCTTTTGCTAGAACCTTGGGGGCCGTGGTTTTCCCACTTCCTCTTCTTCACCTCTTCGGCATTTTTCATCTTTCTTTCTTCCCACTCCTTTTCCCCCTTCAAACCTTGTTCAACCACTTGACTAAACGTCATATTAGACAATTGTGTTGCCCTCTCACGTATGTCAAGGTCCAAGGCGTTCCAGAAGTGGTTCACCATCCTGTTCTCATCACAGATGTACTCCGGTATAAACTCAGCAAGTTTTCTAAATTTGTGCTCAAGTTCTTTCACGGTGCATTCACCTCCTTGAGTCAAGTTTGTATACTCCCTCCTCTTCGCGTTCACTTCGAAGTCGGAGTAGTATTGACTAAAGAACTCCTGTCGAAAGTCCTCCCAAGTGGCAGTCTCGCCGTACTTCCCCTTGACTCCATCCCACCACGTGGATGCCATTCCCTCTAGCAGTCTCGTTGCCACCCTAATCTTCATGTTTGGAGGCAACTGCATATCAAGGGCCGCTTCATTGAATCTCTTGATCCATTCGGCCACAATAGAGATGTCTCCCGTTCCATCAAACGATTTACATCCCAATTCCCTGGCTTCTTTGAGGTATTTCGAGATCCTTATTATTGGGATCTCAACACCTCTACCTCCCCGGGACTCAACATGTCCTCTAGGACTCACGCGGCTTCCTCTTCCCGAAGCCCCTCCCAAAGCACGCCTTGCCCGGCGCCTTTGGCGATCTCGTTGGTATTGCCGGAGCAATTTCTCAATTCTTTCCAGAGCATCACTATCATCACTCTCTTCACTAACGTCATCGTCTTCCCCATCATATGGGGTTTCAACCGGATCAGACCCCGGTCGGTAAGTTGGATCCTCCTCGGACTCGTAATGCTCGTCCACTGTTTCAACATGATCGTCACTTACGGTCAGCGAGTGGCCTGCACGGCCCTGCCCCCTGGACACACTAGAAGCCCCTCTACTGCCATGCTCGGACCCTCCCGGTGTCCGACCCGTCGGGTTCCTCCTAGTTACCTTTCCGGCACGTTCCATTTCTGAAAGAAATTAAGAATGAGTCTTTTAGACTCGTATCGAGTGTCAACTGACGGATAGGCACTTAAAGACATCCTTTGGCTCAAATCACCGCCATACCAATTGTTAAGGGTACCATCTTAACAATTAGAGACATTGCAACTCAAGTACCAAAAGTTCTATAAGTACAAAACTTTATGCTCATGGTTTTCAATTTCACTTTCAAAAAGAATTTTGAAGCTTCATTATGATGTTTACGGACTAAGGCTCTGATACCAATTAAATTGTCACGCCCCGGACCTAGCCGGACACGTCAACAACCCGCCGTACAGTACGAATAGTCAACCGCAGTTCAACTCATCCATACTATACAAGGCGTCATGAATATCATCCACACATAGTACATCCATAAACAAACATAATGTAAAATATTCATTTAAAGCAGCGGAAACAATATTACAAGTGTTCAAGCCACACTTGGCATCATTAGGCATACAAGCCCCCAAATAATTATTCAGAAAATAATATCCATGAACATTATTATAATTGTTTTGAAACTGAAACGGAGGAAGCACGAACCACGTCTTCTCTCCTGGATCTTCCCGAAGCAACGGGCCCTGGTAGCAAGCTCAACTCCTACCTGAAACTGTGAGGTGGCCTCCCCCGTGAAGGGGAGGTCAGTACTTGGAAGCATTTGACAAGTACAATGACAACTATACTAAGTATAATCGATGTTTCAATTTCTAAGACCCTCAATCTAGGGTGGTATTATATTATAGGCTATAACCCTCGGTTACCCCTTTTTAAAAAAATATACTTACTTTATATAGAGTCAAGTAGTTGGCCCGTGGCCCATATTCGTTTTTGAAATGCCCACCCCTATTTCCCCGTGACTACTAGTCACGATTGTTATAACCTTCGGTAAATTATATTACCGTCATGGGGCATTTCTTGATTACCTTATTTAGCCATCATGGAGCCTCGCTCAATCTTATTATCATACCGTGCTAGAGCCTCGCCCTTAGCCATCTACATTTATGCTAGAGCCTCGCTCTTAGTCATCAACATTAGGCTAGAGCCCCGCTCTTAGTCAACCTACCTTCATACTAGAGTCTCGCTCTTAGTCATCTACATCTGGCTAGAGCCTCGCTCTTAGTCAATCTACATTTATGCTAGAGCCTCGCTCTTAGTCATCTACGTCTGGCTAGAACCTCGCTCTTAGTCAATCTATATTTATGCTAGAGCCTCGCTCTTAGTCATCTACGTCTGGCTAGAGCCTCGCTCTTAGTCAATCTACATTTGTTAGAGCCTCGCTCTTAGTCAAGTTATTCGATTCCTAAGCCAATTCTATGCCTAGAATCATTTTACCTTGAGTAGCCTTTAAGGCCTACTCCTAACATATCTTAGAGCTCATACATTCCGACCCTTAAGTATCTCTTAGGACTACTTGAGGCATCTCTATTCACAATCCTATCTCTTAGGATTAAGTTCATCATTTATTTATCTCAATCTCCCGACTAGTATTTCAATACTAGTCGGATAATCTTAGAACAACCAAGTTCTTAATTCATAACCAACATTTCATTCCAATTGATTTTCCAATCCAAATACAATTTAATCTCAATATCAAGAATATCACTTTTATCCATTCATGAATTCTATACATGAAGTAAAAGTATATTTTATCACAATATTTTCATAGTTAATTCCATTATCATGCCATCACTTTCATATCACATAATCATACACAATTTCCCCCAAATTTGTATATCATGCTTCATTTACTCATAAACAATAGTATTTTCATTTAGGCATTATTAATCATTAATAATCCATGAAAGTCACATTTAACAACTTTAGGTAATCTTACGAAATTAACTCACTAATTATAAACAATATAGTCAGTCATCCTCACCTTAAATATGTCCAACAAGCCTTCCTATTGAAGCCCCATCGTTAAACCTCCGATTGGGAATGATCCGAAATGAACTTGGCTGGCAAAGGGCAAAAGCCGCCCGGCTTTTGCAAAAGCTGCCCGGCTTTCGGGCCCTGCAGCACGAAAACAGCTCCTAGCAATGGCGGTTTCCGGCGATTTCGATTCCTATCGATTCCACAACTCTTCTAAGTTAAATAACAACACTTTATATCATTTCTCTACACTTTTAAACGTGTAGAACATCCCCTAGAATCCATCATATGATTTCTATAAAATCATATACGAAAAATATATTAAACGGAAGAACAAGAATCGGAGTTACGAGATTCTTACCGTTAGGCTTCGTTTTTCTCTCTTCTAGCTTCCTTCAAGGCTCCTGCGTGAGAGAGCTCTCCCAAACCTCCTTATCCCTCTATTTTCCTTTCGTGTGATGTAAATGAAAGGGGGGAAGCATCCTATCTCACTCAAAGACCAATTCCATGTCAAGATAGGGTCATACGGAGTGTGATTGTGTCTCCAATCACTCCCTCCTCCATAAGTTCGAATTTGCCACTTCATTTTATCTCCATCTCATTATTTGGAGACCATAAGTTGTGTATGAAAATCCCCCAAGTGGGTGTAGAAAATCCCTCCCAATTATTCCTGCTATTTCTGGCAGGTTGGGTCAAAATAGCACTTAGGTTGTCCAAATATCTCCCTCAACCTCGGTTGGCATTTTATTGGGCTTATATAATTATTATGATGGCCCAACTAACTATTTGGTAGTCCATTCTCAATATAATGGTCCCGATAAATAATTTTAATTAATCATTTATTAATTAAATAAATCATTGTTTTACACGAAATCATTCGCTAGAAAAATTCAAATACATACTGAATCTTAAATTCAAGTACATCCGGGTGCGGTGTCACAGTTAGATTGTTATATGTCTTGATGTAAAAGTTATACATGAGTGTATCCATAAATTTACTTCAATTCCTCTTCAAATGAATTGCAACTACAAACACATTTATTTACTACAGAATGCTAAACTAAACAAAAACTTATCAACAGTTAGATGAACCCATCAACAATATATGTGAACACATGAGATCTTGATCTTTTAATACAAGATATCAATATGTATAATCTAAAACAGTTTCTAAGTCCAAAAAACTCATCGCAAGGAGATCAACATTGAATGACAAAAAACTCATTGCAAGGGTATAGTCATAACTGCACCACGAGCCAAAAATCATCAATTGTATATGCCCCTGTTACAAGGATGCATGCCAAAGTTTCATTTAGATAGCACAGTTTCATCTTCAAAGCAGAATTCAAGGTTGCATGCCAAAGTTTCATTTAGATAGACCTGTGTAAGACTTGATAAATAATACATAACAATGAACGCACATGGTTGAACATATGTATGACTTCTTTTGCATGTGAACACACTGGCAAGTGGCCAAATGGGAACCCCTTCATAGAAGAAGTGCATGGGCGTAATCATTTACGAAATACTATCTATTTCTTCTTTGCAGCAGAATTCAATTCCCAACAATCACACATTCGGCAACTCCTCAAGCAATGATCACTAAAGAAACAAAGAGGCGGATTTTAAAAGCATATGACCCCATAACACTAGTAAACTCTTTACACATTTCAACATTAGTGCAGAGAGGGTAAAATGGAGCCTTGTACGGGTTGTAAACCTGTCGGTTGAATATTTCAAGTAGAGATTACTTAAACAAGAAGTTTTAACATAAAGCTAGAAATCTAAGGATGAGATCAAATGATATAAAATAAACAAAAATCACACACAAATCAAGTACTACGTATTAACGTTCTTGTGGACAATACCCATAAGTTAGCTACGGCAAGATAACACCTCATTGGGGTTTCACACTTTCACAGAACCTCATAATAAAAAGGTTTAATCTTACTCTCTTTCTTGCCATGGAAAAACATCATCATTAGTTTATATAGTTCAAATTCATTCATTTCATTTCATTTTCATTTACCCCAGTGCCGCAAAGGCTCCCACCTACGGTGGGGTAAGGGAGGTCGGATGTACGCAGTCTTATCCCTGTACTAAAGCACAGAGAGACTGTTTCCGGATGACCCATAGTGAAAACCGCGTCCAAAATTGCATGGACTGACTGTTGCTCCATAACAAAAAAGCGCAAATAGTTTAGTGAACAATTAAAGAACATAGATGAGAACCATGGTTGTTTTGCTTCCTATTAAAGGAAGATGTAATACTTCAGTTCTGCACCAGCACCATTCCAGCCAAAACCCCATAGTTTCGGTAATTGTCATTGAACCCCTTGAGCCAACAATTGTCGGTTCTTTTGCCATGGGACCCTTTCGGGCTGGGTTAGCTTCTGCAGTTTCTCTTGATCCATTTTCTTGATATACATACTTTCTGCAGCTTGTTCTTCCCTCCCAATAACTTTTCCATTACCGTAAAACCTACGACAAACAAACCTCAAAGCATTCCTTGCTGCCATATATTATGCAGTTTCGTCATAAAATATCTTTAATTTCGGTTCGCCGATGTCTCAACCCGGAGGTTGCGGGCTCCTCGCTCGTTCTGGTTAAGTTCAGCGGAATGAAATGACTGTGCAGATAAAGGTTATAGTGATGAAGGAGATGATTGAATTCTACTTCCTTCAACCTAGGCTGAGTTCCGTTTTATACAATTATGTCAAAAGAAAGATATTCTATACACGACTTTAGCAAATGGATTCTCGATAGGGTTCTAATCTGGCCAGATGGGAATTCTCGATCGGATTCTAATCAATTTACAGAAGAAGACGAATGAATTTTTGAAGGAAAAAAACTAATACTGGGGTAAAAATGACGTACAAGAATTATTCAGGATTAACTATGTAAATTTTTAAAATTTTAAATGAAGTTGCTTATGTGGAATGCTCTACCAATGATATCCGGCCACATATCGAATGCACCAAAACATTCTTCAAAGAGAATGTACGGGAGAGCTACCCTGTAGACCACTTTAGTGGTGGAGAAATTAGGAGTCCGAAGTGTTTAAAATGAATATTTGGGCTCCTAATTTGGAGCATTCTTGTTTGGGAACACTGGTGGAGGCCTAAAAATGGAAGGAGGAGGCTAAAAATGCAATAAAAGAGGAGAGAGAAATAAAGTTGAAGACCGATGTCAATAGCGGGCTCCAAAAAATCATCTCCCTTCAAGCATTACTCCCTCGAATCCCTGTTTTTTCTCCCATTTTGGCTGGGCACAGTAATTAAGATAGTGAATTTTGTGTGGTGGAGAGTTGTGCAGAGGAGAGAGAAATGTGTAAGAATGTGTAAGAATGAGTGTGAACCACAAATTCTTTGACAAAAAAGAAGGAGAAGATAATTTTGGGACGGACGAAAAAGGAAAGTTTGAAGATAATTCACTATAATTTTTTGAAAATAATGACCCTGGTATGACTAATTGGCTTTGGGATTCCAAATACAAACCTCTTTTAATAATTTCCAAAACTATGACTTGTTGGTACAGCTCCATTCCTCCCCATGACACCCACATTTCTGTTGCCATCATCAGGCCTCCACTGTCCAAATACAATGGCTTCTGCAGCCCTCCTCAGCCCGTCGCAGCCCCCCGTACAATCCGTCTATCCCAATAACTTTCTTCTTTGCGCCTATCTCGATGCCTCGCCTCGCCGCACAGTTCACCGCGGCACCGCGCCCCACCCCGCCTCGCCTCAACCTTGCCGCACAGGTCACCAGCTCGCTTCGCATCGTCGCGCCTCAGCTCCGCTCTTCCATCGCCAGATCTACCTAAGCTCCATCGACTCTCAGTCGGCCAGACCAGATCTACCTCCAGACTTCTCCATCGCGTCACCACCATCACCAGGCCGTCGTTGCCGCCTCAACACCATCTCCATCGATGCCGTTGTTAACTAGGTTGATATATTTTCAGATCTGAAATCTTTGATTTTTTATAGGCCCAATAAGTGGGGTATGGTGGGGAAGTGGTTAGCCGGGGTGGGACGCTAAGCATTGGGGGGTCAATAGTGGTGGGGTGAGGGTGGGGCTGGTTGTGGCAGGGGCATTGCGGAGGTGACATTGTCAGTGCTGCGTTGGACTCGGGCCGGGTCAGACCCGGTCGGGCCGGCGGTTCTATATAGCTGGACCCGGGACCGGCCCGGGTAGCCACCGGGTCCTGGCGGGCCGGGCCGGGCCTCGGGTTTGGTTAATTTTTTTTTTTGCTTAGCTACCCATCCCTGACCCCCTCTCACCCCCACCCCCCAAACCCCTTCTAAACATCAAGCCCAATCCGGTGGAGCCCAAACAAATGAGAAAAACCAAAAAATAAATAAATTTGGCCCGAACCGGGCCGGGCCTTGTTATGGGTGACCCGAGCCCGGACCGGAAACCCACCGGGTCGGGCCTACCCGGACCGGTCATTGACCGGGCCACCGGTTCGGGCCGGACCAGAACAGTACCGGTCCCGGGCTGGTTCCGGGTCGGGCCACCCGGCCCGAGTCCAACCCTATGTCAGTGTCACGCTCCAGACCGCATCCAAGCACATGTACGATCGTCGTATGATCAAGTGACGTCACTCCCAAATCAACCTCACTTAATCACACAAGGCGTTCATGAACATCGTTCATACCATACTCAGTAAGTAAACATACATAACAACATCACATCATGGATTCAATGAATTGCGGAAAGTATTCATCGGTCAATCATAAGCCACATATCGCAAAACGTAGGCTCGCAGGCCAAAACAAAGTAACATCACAAAAAGTATCCATGGACATAATTTATGATTTTAAACAGTAAAGGAAGCACGAACCACGTCTTCCTCTAGATTTCTTTCACCCGTACAAAGGTGATGACAACAAGCTCTAGCTCAACCTGAAATGGTGCCCCCCGAAGGGGTCAGTACAAGTACCGAGCGAGTAGCAAGCTAAATGTAGAGTAACTAACATTTCAAGTATAAGACCCAAACATAGGGTGATACATATGTTTATACTCCTTTACCCCAAGTTACAAAATACATATCGGTACTTATATACACTTGGAAATACCCGACCCGTGGGTCATTGTTTATTTGGGAAAAATAATAGTGGTCAATGTTCTTGACTTAAAACCCCAACCCACTCATAGACCTATGAGTGTATAGGACTCCTCCTGTCCAAATCAAATAATCACAAGGACGTCACCCGGTCCTTAATTACTGAACAGTAATCTATGAGTTTTGAGGATACCGCCCGATCCTTGGGTACTCCACCCTATATAACCGAGTTTTGAGGATACCGCCTGATCCTTGGGTACTTCACCCGACATAACCGAGTTTTTCTGATACCGCCCGATCCTTGGGTACTCCACCCGACATAACTGAGTTTTGAGGATATCGCCCGATCCTTGGGTACTCCACCCGACATAACCGAGTTTTGAGGATACCACATGATCCTTGGGTACTCCACCCGACACAACCGAGTTTTCAGGATACCGCCTGATCCTTGGGTACTCCACCCGACCTATGATCTTCCACATATCACACTAGATAGGGTCTATATCATAATCAATAAACAAGACTAATCCATGTCTTAAGACCTAAGCAAATTCATCCATGAAATTCATGCATTGAAGATCAACATATGGGCAACAAAACCAAACCAGCGTCGGTTGCCCCTAAACAACGGGTCAACTCTCGGTTGACCCGCTATTTCAAATCCAATAGGTGTCAAACCTAATCACAACATTCATTAAGTTATGAACAACCATATTATGCACCATTTATCTCTAAACATATCACATATGTTTTTATAAACATTTTCATTTCACAAATCATGCATATTTTGATAGTTCATTTCATACAAGCCTAATTACTTTGGCTAATCACATGTTTAATCTCTTTTAAACATCATCATGAACACATATAACATTTACTTAGGTAATATCATCCTTAACCCAAAAGTTACAAGACATTAAGCCATCCACTCACCTTAAATGAGCTTTAGTGTGTTCTACGCTCCTTGGTTGAACTCCGGCGAAACTCCGGCGAACTCCGGCGAACTCTAGAAACACTCTAGTTAAGCTCCTAACATGGTTTTATCATCACAAAACTCATATCAATACAAATAACCTCTAAAAGGTTATTTTCCGGCGAACCGGTCGTTTTGACTTCTAAGTCCCTTCTTGGACTTAGAAGTACCTTTCAACCCCTTTTTCTACACTTCTAAACATGTATAACAATCCCAGGGGTACTTCATATGGTATATAAGTCATATGAAAATCAAAAGATGAAAGAAAAGTGGTTAAGGAGTTCCTCACCTTTATTCTCAAGGTTTTTCTCTACTTTTGCAACTTCTTCCCCTTCCTTGATCTCCTTGCTTGATTGAGTTCTTCTCAACAATGGGGAAAGATGGATGGAGAGCTTCTTGCTCCTGATTGGAGTGGGCTGGCTGAAATTATCAAAGCAAGAGAGTGGGGGTTTCCTATTTTTGTGTCAAAGGCATGAGTGGTGTGGGGGGAGGCCCACCCTTTTTATTTGATGCCTTTTACCTCACCCCTCTCCATTTCAACCCCAATAACAGTCCGGCCAACTCCCTGATTTATGTGACCAAATTTATGGGATGACCCTCACACATGTGGGAGGTCATCCCTTTAAACTCCGAACTGTATATTCGGTCCCGAAAGTTGTATTTCTCGGATTGTTTAAATTATATTTTATTTATCGGGTCAAATAAAATATATTATGTGTTTCCCATCATTATGGACTCTTAGGACGAATATACATTCCTCATCTTTAATTTAGAAGTCTCTGAAATCCGTTTCAGTCTGTTATATGATAAATTACCGATACCGGTAATTGGGCCTCGTTTGACCGACGGGTCAACCTTATGCCCTTTCTATGACCCAACTAAAATATCTATCACCATATACATATTATCTAGACCAAAATGAATATAATATGTGGTCCCAAGATTATCGGGTGGTCCCCGCTCCCGATGCGGGCCTTGCGTGCAATTTACTATTCACGCAAAAGTAATAACAATTTTTTTATAACTTCGTAAATTCATAAATCATTATTCAAGGTTTATTACATGGTTTACTAAAAGTAAATATACTTGGGGCGATGTTACAGTCAGGGGGCTGGCGGGCTGAAAGCGGCTGGTGGATTCACTGTTGGGGTGGGGTGGGGATAGGGCGTGGTGGGGATGGGATGGGGGCCACTCGATGGGCACAGGTGGCGGTCATTGGAGCGTGACGGCGGCGTCGGTACACGGAAGAGATGGGTGGGCAGTCACTTTGGCCAAGGCGGTGGCGGTCACGAGTAGGGCTGTGCACTATCCGGTTTAAACCGGAAAACCGGACCGAACTGAACCGGGAAACCCGGAACCAAATTGAACCGGAATGATATCCGGTCCGGTTTTCGGTTATGAAAATTTAGGAAACCGGTTTCCGGTTTGAACCAGATTTAACCGGTTTGGTTATATTTTTAAAATTATATTTACTAATACTACTAGGCCTTTTTATTTTTAAAATTGAATGAAATAGACAAAAATGTGACTTGTTTTAAATTTTTCCAAAAAAGTGACTAAAAGTCATTTATTCTTTATATTTAATCATACATTTATTAATTTAATATTTTTTTATTATTAGGTCATATTGCAGCCACCAGTAGCTCTATGACCGCCCACCCCAACACTGCCGCCGCCGTCGTCACCGGCACCGCCGCCGCCAGTCACTATCTCAGTGACTCCGGTCACAGTGACCACAGTGACTCCAGTCACAGTGACCACAGTGACTCTGCCCCACGAGTGACTGCGATGTCACAGTGACTCCGCCCCGTTAGTCACTGCGCCACTATAGTGACTCCGCCCCCCGCCCCCCGCCCCCCGTGACTATGGTTGTGCACCGGTTCAAAATCGGACCGGATCGAACCGGACCGAAACCGGAACCGTATTTGCCATGATATGGAAACCGAAAACTGGACCGGATGTATTCCGGTTTTTATCAGGAATCGAACCGGTTTATCCGGTTCAAAACTGGAACCGGACCGGAAAACCCGGTTTCTAAATAAATAATTTTTTTCTTTACTAAAAAAGCTACTAATCATTTGATAAAGATGGAGTACTTATTATTAAAAATAGTACTTTTATTATTATTATTATTATTATTATTATTATTTTCTAAGCTCATTTTAATTAATTTTTGTGAGCAAATATTGGAGTAACTTGAGACTAGAATAATATATATTAGTTAGTTTTATTATAACGAGAATAAAAATGAATGGATAAATATAATATTGGGATAATATATATTATAATCATTATGAAATTGATTGCTATTATATATTGTTATTAGTATGGAGTATTATTTTTTATTTTATAACTATTATTATATTATAATCATTATGAAATTGATTGCTATTATATATTGTTATTAGTATGGAGTACTATAATCAATTTTAGCCAAATATTTGACACCAATTTTGGTTTGAGAAGTTGAACATTTCGATGTAAAAATACATATATTTGGAGTTTAATTTTTATTGTTTCTTCAAACCTATTTTTGAAAAAAAAAATCGAAAGGTGTAAACAGAATATTTTGACCATGACATATTAATTTTAGCATTTGGATCCATTTAAAAATTAAATCAGGATGCCCCCATCCGTTAACACTTCATATCATTTTAAACTTTATACATGCATAATTAGTATCATACTCAGTATTAAAAATCTGGAAAAAAATAAAAAATCACAAGGAAAAAGACTTCAATAAGACTAAAACAAGTGCTATGAACTTAAATAGGACCTACAATTTTTAAACCCTAAATAAGACTAATTTTGAATCGATGAGACAAAAATACCCTTAGACATCCGGCTGCCGCCAACATACGCATCCATTAAATTCTGCCTGGCCAGTCAAGAGCCGAACTGCTGAAGAC